AATGCCGCTCTTGTTGACACGGATCGATCGTTAGCGTTTGGGCGCAGCGGGCGAGGGCGGCCCGCCGTTACCCTTGGGCACCGCGCTGTTGGGCCTTGGGGTTTGCGACCTGCTGGGACCTACAGGGAGAACGATAATAATACACCGCATGCCCAGGTCGACCCTCGGAGGCTCTCGTTCTTTGATGCTGGCCCGTTTTACGTCGATGTCTGCCCAAAAGTCGCTGTCGAATCTGACTTGCCTTCACCGACCGTATCGTATCGGTCTTCTGTCTTCAAGTTGGCCTTACTCAAACTGCTAATGGCCGCCATGATGAAGATGCCCTGACGTCCCGCCCACCACGAAGCAACAACCGCCAAAAGCCTGACCTCCGGTCTTCGAGGATGCTACCGCCTCCGATCGATGGAAATTCGAAAGATGCGGGCATTCACAATTATGATGGAGTATTTGATACCACCAATACGACCGCCATTCCGTCCTGGTTGGCGGGTCCGCCTCCCGGACCTGACCACTTCAAGGGACAGTCCGTAGTCCCGGTGGCGGTCGTCACAGGAGTCGTTGCTGCGCTGTTAGTTGGCCTGCGTTTCTACACGAGGGCCAGAATACTGCGCGCAGTCCACCTGGACGACTGGCTTATTCTTCTCTCCCTTGTCCTCGGTCTGGGAACGAGCGCCACCATGATAACTCGTCAGTCGGCCGGCCGTGCGTTCCCTTCCATTGCTAATGATCGTGTCAGAACTCAGTCTGGGCTTGGGCCGTCATTTTTACTACGTCAGCGACAGCTTCAGTGATTATCTCAAATCCGGGCTCGCCGCGAGCCTCCTGTATACCGCTAGCCTCTTCTCGACCAAGGTCTCCATTCTCTGTCTTTACATCAGGATATTCTCGTATCAGGGAGTCCAACTTCTGAGCAAGATGCTGCTTGCGATCGTCGTCATCTCCCACACGTGGATTATCACGAGCATCCTGACGACTTGCGTTCCTCTTGATTCCATATGGATCATTGAGAAGAAACCGTCATTCTGTCACAGTTTCAACGTCTTCTGGGCTAACGCCGGCCTCAATATGGCTACCGATCTTTTAATTTTCCTTCTACCCCTTCCTGTAATATTCAAGCTTCGACTGCCTCGACGTCAAAAGTACAGCCTGTATTTCGTCTTTCTCCTTGCTTTTGGGTAGGAAAGGTCCCCTGCCTCTTGACGAGTGATCGCTGACATGGCTCCCAGCGTCTGTGTCATCTCTGTCGTTCGCCTGACGAATCTCTTGAAGCACGAAGACCCGTTATACTTCTTCATGGACGTTACCTGGACCGCCGTCCCGATCGCCAACCTAAACTGCATCGAAGTGCACACGGCCATCGTTTGCGCCTGCCTCACGACCATCAAGCCTTTACTGGTGCAATGGTTCCCCTTCTTGCTGTCCTCTCGGCCACCGGAGAGCCCGATGACATATCCCGTACCACGCTACGACAGACCTCTCACCATCGGCACTCAAATCACGCGACATATTCGACCTCCCCGTTACTCCTTTGTCAGTTCAGTCCATACGAGTGACTTTAAATACGACACCACCGACGAGGGCGACAGCCAACTTCAGCTCCCCATCTTTGCGCCAGGCGACGGGGATGGCCGGTTTGGGGGCAACAATAGCTACCATCTGGTGGATCTTGAAAGAGACGGGAGCATTCAAGACGAAAGGGGATCGTCTTCGAGGCCGAGCAGCTCGAGACCGTCTAGCTGGCCCATACAGTCGTTGCCGCCACGGGCGATTACACCAGAATGGCCACTCAAGTCACCAACGTCACGCAGCGGGTTGATCGAGGAGCGAGAAAGCGAAGAGATTATTGCGGTGCCAGAAATTACCTATTTGCGAGAGGGCCGTCTTTCTCATGAAGTCTTGCAAGAATATGGCCATGCAAGAACAAACATGCACGGATGGATTTGAAGACGGACCTTCTTGCCTCGAGATACGAAAGGTCTCGGGAGCCCCCAAAGAACGAAATCTGGACTTCAGAAAGAGCCGGACGGTGACGAAACACAGGGCGAGGATTTCCCATCACAGCTGATACCCATGTCGGCCCACAACGACCCGGAGCCCGCAGCCTCCATCGTCCCGGTCCCGGAGTCGAGTACGCGCGACCACGGACGAAAATGCCCGACAGCCGTCCGACAACCGAAGACAAAGATCGGCTGGTGTACCGCGGCGGATTCTCAGTGGTTCTCACCACGTGGGGGTCGGGGATTCATTCTCCCGTCGTGATCGCTGCCAAAATGGCACCACTGATATCCCCGCCTCGTGCCGACACGAATGCACGCCATTTGATTGATCCAGCAACCATATTCGCGGGGGCTGGTTAATTCCAGAATGCGGGCAACCATTTCTTGGCTCGACTCCTTATCAGCCTCGCAAATGTCATCATTGAAAATCGGGGGAGCGATGTCGCAGCGTTTGGCAGAAAGCCATCGTTTCGGCGTGATGATCAACCCAAGGCAACAGCTGTCGAGGCCGAGGCTGGCGTTCCGTAGTCTTATTGATTGGGTCGCCGCTTGAAGCGGTTGAATGATGCAAGTGGCAGAATACATGCGGTCGATCACGTAATGCTACGCGGTTATTTGGAGATGATTGAGAGGATCATCAATGTGTGGGAGGGGACATGGTAAGTGAGGGGTCATGGCATCCCAACCATAAATGAAGCGATACCCATTTGACGAGAGAGTGTGAATGGCCTGGATAGACAGCATTAAGGATAGTCAAGACATTTCCAAACACATCCAATATCTCTGAGGTACTTCGAGCAACCGCAAACATGGCACCGTCAGCCACAGAGACAGCCCCGGCCAAGAATGAAGTCGATGATATCCAGGTGAAGAAGCTGGCCATCAGCGAGAAACCTGCTGCGCCCGGCTTGGAGCAGATAGAGGAGCCGCTGCCCGAGCTGCGGACTGGCCACCGCGAAGCCCTGAAACTCAGCGGTGCCCTCGACAAGTACGAGCACATCGAGGTGACGCCCGTCATTGGTCGGGAGTACGTCAACGTAAACCTGGTCGAGCTGCTCAGGGCACCCAACTCTGACGATCTCATCCGTGACCTGGCCATTACAGGCAAGTCTGCCTTCTCTCCGGCTCGCTTTCTCAGGATGCATGTTGAGGCTGACCCGTGACGCATAGTCTCGCAACGCGGTGTCGTGTTTTTCCGCAAGCAGGATGACGTGACGAATGATCTCCAGAAAGAGCTTGTCCAGCGTCTGGGCGAGCTTTCAGGCAAGCCATCGACATCGAAGCTGCATATCCACCCGATCAACAACGCAGGCCGCGGTGATGACAAGGACGACGAGATCAGCGTCATCTCGAGCGAGCAGGCCAAGAGGCTCTACCTGCATCGATTCCTCAACTACAACAAGAAGCAGAGCCAGAAGTCGCAGTGGCACTCGGATATCACGTTCGAGCCCATTCCGAGCGATTACGCCCTGCTCCGACTTACGCAGTTGCCCGAGACGGGCGGTGGTGAGCTCCCATTTTTCTGTTCCTCATCCTGCTCAACCCTCACAGATCATGGAGCAATATCTTGGGCGAAGACCATCGCTGACATACGGCCAGACACGCTTTGGGCTTCGGGCTACGAAGTCTACGACCGCATCTCGGCGACCCTGCAGGGTTTCCTCGACAGCCTGACGGCGACGTACGCGCAGCCCGGATTCAACGAGGCGGCCGACAAGAACGGCTTCAAGATTTACAGCGCCGAGCGCGGCGCGCCCGAGAACGTCGGCGAGCTGCTCGAGGCGATCCACCCGGTCATCCGCACGAACCCCGTGACTGGCTGGAAGAGCGTCTTCGCCGTCGGCCACCACGTGCAGAAGATCAACGGACTCTCGGACGAGGAGTCGAAGCATTTCCTCGCGTGGTTCGTGCAGCTCATTGTCGAGAACCACGACCTGCAGGTGCGGTTCAAGTGGAAGGACGTCAACGACGTGGCCATCTGGGACAACCGGTCGGTGTACCACGCTGCCACGCCGGATTACCTGTTTGAGAACCTCGGAGAGAGGCAGGGGTCGAGGGCTGTGAGCTTGGGCGAGAGGCCTTATTTCGACCCCCAGAGCACTAGCCGTAGGGAAGCCATCAAGGCAGAAGTGCTTGCTGCTGCTGGGCATGAGAAGGTGGCGCAGTGATGTTGCTATGGGGTCGTGGGGTTTCCTTTCGTAATGTTTGGATGAGTTAGATATGCAGCGTGCAAATAGAACGCACAAACAAGATTATCTCAACCCGTGATGCCATGTTCAAGACAATTTTTTTCCAGCCCACGCAGGTGACTGAACAAGGCATGACATCGCCAACCCTGGCTCGTTTGGCATACCCTCACGGCACGACGATGCGAAGCTCAAGTCGCTCCGGTCCACCGTTCGGCCCTTCGACGAGGGTCATGAGCAATTTTCATGAGTACGTTCAACACAACATTGTCAAGCTTGATATGTAGATCACAGAAAAGAAACGGAGTCCGGTTGGTTGCTTCGGGCCCCGAGATCAACGAAGGATCCTTCCCAATATTTATCTTTGGCGCACCCTTCGTCCAAAGACGTACCGACAACGTGAGTTCATCAGGCCGAAGCCCGTTAGCTGTGCTGTTGGCGGGTGGCCATTTCTATCTGAAGAGGAAAAGAGGAAAGCACAAACGAGGCTGGAGCAAAAAATCGCGACTTTGTTGCGAATTGCCAGATGGCCTGTGCGCGTTTCTGCAGGATTGGCACGTGATCAGTATCACGTGCTTCGTAGAGGTCGGGTGGACCCTTTGGATTAGGAAGTCATGGCAGGTGATTGGCCCCGGCTGCCGAGGAACCGAGGGCATTCCGCTGGATTTCGAGAGCTGCGCGGTTGACATCAACACTTTGCTGGTGATTGCTTGACTGTCATCGACTGATACACGCGACGTCCTCTCGCCTGCTCCGCCTACCAACGCCCTCGACCGATCAATTACACTCGTCCACGATACCCCGATTTCTCAACAAGATGATTGCGCAAAGGGTGGGAGTGTCGGCCGCGCGCCGAGGTGCGTTCCCTACCCCCCTCCCGAATCCGATGGCCGCACTTGTAGCATCGCGAGCAGCCTCATTGGAGCCACCCGAAAGAGCCTTACGAATGTCGAGCTAACCTCTTCCGCCAGCTGTGGCCGCGCCCAGCACTTTCTTCACGACCCAGGTCCCTAGGCTGGCTCTCTCTACCTCCCAGATCCGGTGCGTATCTGCCATCCTCTCCCTCCTCCTCAGCGCGCCATCGAACAGCATCCTCCTAACCTCGACACATGCAGCCCCGTTGGCACCGCGAAGCTCACGCCCGCCGAGGGCCAGTCCATCCTCGCCGCCCAGCGCCTCCAGCGCCCGACCTCCCCTCACCTGACTGCCTACCGCATCGACCAGACCTGGTTCGGCGCCTCCATCTGGACCCGTTTCACCGGCGGCGGCCTCTCCGCCGCCCTCTACGTCTACCTTGGCGCCTACGTCGCCGCGCCTCTGCTCGGCTGGCACATCGAGTCCGCCACCGTCGCCGCCGCCTTCGGTGCCCTGCCTCTGGCCGTCAAGGGTGGCATCAAGTTCCTCGTCGCCTGGCCCTTCATGTTCCACTGCATCAACGGCGTCAGGCATCTGACCTACGACCTCGGCCTCGGCTTCGCGAAGAAGCAGATCGCCCAGTACGGATGGATTGTTTGGGGCTCCAGTCTCGTCGCTGGACTGTACACTGCTTTCCTGCTGTAAATCACACCGGTATGAGGACGGAACAACCGGGAGAGTTGGTATGGAGACGAGACTGAGAGAGCGGAGGGGCGGTGGAGAGGAGGAGGAGGAAGAACAAGAAGAAGACCTGAGATGAGCAGCTGCACGCACATCAGAGAAGGGGCGTTGAGGAAAGGAGGCGACGATATCAACAATGCAGTCGCCGCGGGGGAAGAGGAGGTGCCCCAGGACTACGGGCCAATGTGTGTTATAGAAATTATTTCTTCGACTTTGTATACCATGACCATGCCGTCCGTTTTTTACCAACCGTAACGCCATTTGCGCCTACCCGTCTTCGTCTTCACTCTAGTGTCGCACCCGCGAACTCCTACCCCCCACCCGGCTACTGGATCGTCCGCGCCTCAAGCACCTGCTCCACGAGCCTCTTGTTCCCCAAGCCGGCGATCCTTTCGCCGAGGATGGGCCCGATGAATTCCTTCAGCTCGGCCGTTTGCGTTGCGGCCGGCCCACCGTTGACGCCGTTCGCCCGGGCCCTGTCATCGGCCACGAGCGTCGAGATCGCCCGGACGATGCCACCCACGAGCAGCTCGAAGTCAAGGCCCTCGCCCTTGTCCTTGAGCCGCTGCAGGACCTCGTCGCTATACGCCCTGAGGTACTTGAGCACGAGCACGCGCACGGCCTCGGGCCCTCCAGCCGCCGCGAGCCCTGTGATGGCGCCGTAGTGCGCAGCCGGCAGCTTGTCCGGGTCCATGAAGAACTTGAGACACGTGCGGACGAGCTTGGGGCGGAGGAGATGGTTGGAGGCGGCGTAGCGCAGGGCAATCTTGCCGAGCAGCGAGGCCGAGAACTCCCGCAGCTCGTACTGGTCCTTCGTGGCGTCGTCGGCGCCGAGCTTGCGGCCGAGCAGGCAGGTGAGGACGGGCGCGGCGATGGCGTTGGCGTACGGGTCGAGGAACAGGTTTGTGTTCTCGATGAGAGCCTCGGTGAGCTCCATGACGCGGCGGAGGGTGAAGACGTCGTCGAGCCGGTGGGTCACCTGGTTCGCGACAAAGTTGACAAAGTAGGGGATCAGCTGGTGCAGGCCAGGGTCCGTACGGACGGAGGCGAGAGCGGCATGGCGGAGGCGGACCACCTCGTCGTCTGGGTTGTCGTCGAGGAGAGCGTTTTGGACCTTTTCAAAGTAGAGAACGAGCTCCTTGGAGATGATGTGCTTGACTGTTGGTCGGAGCGAGACGTTGTCGTTGCCGGCAAGAGCGGCCATGGCGGGGTTAGCCCCAGGCCCTTTCGGTAGCAACTCCTGGCTTCGGGACTCGGCGGTCGTGGGGTTCTGGGGGATGGACGGTTGAACACCCTCAATGGCGAGCCAGTGCGCTGGGGGAGGAAAACGTTAGCGGGAGCACGGAAAACCCTTCGGTTGGACCACCAACCAGTGAAACTCATGTCGCGCGGCACCTTGGGCAGGGGCGCGTTGATCAGCTTCTCGAAGTCGACCTCCTCATCCTCCAGGTAGTAAAGTGGCTGGCCGGGACCGAGGCTTGCCTCTCCATAGCGTAGCGGGCGCGTTGATTCGTATCCGTAGAGGGGTTCGACATCGAGAACGCGAAGGGCTTGTGCTATATCGCCGACAGTAAGAGTTGTGCGGCGCGCCGCGCGCATGAAGCGGAGGGCCTCAATCACGACCTGGCCGATGCGGTACTCGGCATCTTGCGTCAGAACGCGAAGAGCATCTTCGTTGAGAGAAGAAATGCCAACGGACTCGGCGACATCCTTGACATTCTCTGGGTTCCAGAGGAGCTTCGTTTCGGGCTGCGCAGGTTGGGCCATGGCAGCGGCGTTGATAATGCCTGGCTATAGCGGTTACACGGGTGGGTGAAGCTGGTGTGTCAAGTCGCGACGGATTGGAGTTCGGGGGTCTGACCGCTTAATTGCTTACGATAGCTGTTCCTGAGATGCTGGTTGCGTGTGGCGCGATACATCGCTCTAACGGAGCTACTACCCCGCTTTGTTGTTGTGAAAATGACAAGAAGGACGGTGATGGCAACACTGTTGAACCATGGAACATCTTCCACGAGATAGTCGATGGGAGGAACACCTGCAGGCTTTTTTCTTCTTCTTATTTTCTGACTCAACTGCATGATTAATCCTGGTAATTCTGCTAGTTGAGGAGGAGTCCACTAGTATATGTCTCCTCGTGACAATGCAGCACAGTTGCTAGATGGAGGCACAGGAGACTGGCCAGGCGTTGCTTTAGCCTTCACTATGCTGCCCTTCCTCAGCAGCCGCTCAAAGATCACTACGTACTCTCATAACTATGTGCGCTATACTGTTTACATGGCTTTCCTTGTGTTCGACCCAATTTATAACGTGAATCGCCAACAAATCTTCAGTACACGCTGACTGGGTGAAGTAGATTAACTCCGAACTGGACAAAGCCCTCCCAAATCGGAAAAGGTTCCTTCGTAGACTCAGATTTGGAACACCTGCCCTCAGAGTTATTCAGGGGCATCGCATGACGCCGTAGTGGTGAGATATCGATGACGTTGAAACCCTGACGTCATGGAACCCCGTTACAATAGCGGCGTGTGACCTGTTGGTCACCACGTACCTACCTACCTCGCCTTGCCTTCTTCAAGCACAACAGCTGCTCTTCCTTTGGTTCAACAAAATCATCAAGATATAGCACAAACAATCCATTACGAGCAACTTGACAAAATATCTTAAAGTTATGTCTGAGCAGAACACCAACCAGCAGCCCGGCCTCATCGCTGGCCACGCTGAATATATTAAGGGCGCTGCAGAGGTAAATTCCCCAATCCCATGTCACATATCATAGGACTTCCTGAGACTGACGGCAAAAAGAGCGCAATCGGCAGTGTCACTGGCAGCCACGCTTGGACTTCATCGGGTGAGCAGGACAAGGCACATGCGGCTTCCACCATGAAGGCAGCAGGTGAGACGCGTGATGCCTCAACGCAAGGCTACGGCAAGCTTGAAGAGGCAGCAGGCAAAGCCTTCGGATGCGAGGGCATGGAGAAAGAGGGCGCAGCGAGCGCGAAGAAGGATTGAACGTGAGCGGAACTACTTATTACATCACACCTTAATACATTCATCCTAAGCGTCCCATCAAGCTCGATACACGCGATTGACCTACGGGAGCGGCCTCAAGGACATAGAGGTCAGAGTAGGCATGTAGCACAACAGTGGGTCACACAATGACCTGGTTTCTCCAAATTGGCTGGATAGTTCGAAGACCTACAGCTATTGGACCACTATGAGTCGTTCGTTGTACAAATGCTGTCGGAAGAAGCCCTCGGCAAGCTTTCAGTTTCAGTTTGAAAGAACAAGAGATTTGGTCATCCTGATTTTCGTTTGAATAGATATTTTACCGTACTAGAGATCGATGAATTGCAAAACTTGGGAACTTGCCCTTGTTGATATACGTGCACTTGGTGCAATTCTTCAAACGTGTTGGAGTCGTTAATCATTCTTCCCTTTCTTTTGCTCTTCATCTTCATATTCAGGATATGAAGCTTTGTATCCGAGCAAGAACTGTCCAATAAACCCAATCAAGACCATCAAAATCGTGTTCAAAACAAGGTTGAAGCACTCCGGACCTGGCATGGGCAGTGCAATGGGCATCCAGTTGTGCATCGCGAAAACCATGATCTGGAAAACGGATGAGGACACACCAGCTCTCCGACAGTCTGCAAAGTACGACAAAACATTCCTAAAGAAGGTTTCCTCCATCTCCACATACTCCTTGTCGTAGTAGTAGGACACCGCTAGTGGTTCTTTCGAGTCGGGAGCGACGTCGAATGTGTGCCATCTCCGAGCGGGCACGACAATCCGGTCACCCTTCTTCAATTGAACGGTCTTTCCGCCCCAAAGATACCACGTACCCTCCCCAGAGTCGACACGGAAGTGCTCATCTTGAAAGAGGTGATAATGCGGCGGCGGTCTGTAGAAACTCGATTCAAAATCGTGCTGGGACTCCTTCCGAGGAAAGATCTGCGTGGAGAATGTAGCATCCGACGGGCTAGGCGTTCTGAAGCTAATCGAGAACAGTCTTTGGTGGGTGTCTTGAAGTACGACAGGATTATGTTCTGATGTGCGATGCCGCGGGACATCACCCCCTCTTAAGAAGGCAAGGGGTGGAGAGAGACTAAAGTTGAACATACTGAAGGTGGACTTTGGTAGCTTCAGGTGAGATGGTCGGATGTGCTTAGCTCGAGCAGAAACGCTTGTCCATCGTTGAAATAACGGTGATTTTCGGTAGCATAAATATGTCGGACAAGCAGTGAGCAACATTGTCGGCTTGCGTCGCTTCTGACCGTTCGACTCCGAACCGCGTCGGATCTTGGGATGTCTTGGCAAACGTTTGATTTGTCGTAGTGTTTTAGACTTACTCAGCGCTAGCTCAGCTGGCGATCGTCCCGCCACGCATTTGGCGACCCCCCAATTATTTGCAGAGATCGGTTCAGCCTACTGCAAGTAAGTTTCGCTCTGACGTTTTGTGATCAGATCGTGTCTCGCGATTAACTCGCGACGCGAGCTTACCCACGGAGTAACAGTCTAGGTGGTTTCGCGGCCCACTGAGTTGACTTCTTCATTCAACAGCAAGCCCCCCTCGCCTCGGCCGAACAGACACTCGGCCATCGATCCACGAAGTCTACGGAGACTTATGACCAATTTTTCCTTGCATAGGTGTAAACGGCATCATTGACAGCCGTTGGGCTTCTCCAATTCGATTTGTAACAACCTTTAGGCTTCGAAACGAACAACGTCAACAGACGTAATGCCACTTCCCAGCCGCTAACCTTGAAGAGTGTGCTGCATATATAAAAAGAAGCCTGGTATCTTCTGAATCGTCTGGAGTACCAAGTCATTCTTCAAAGCGGCGACTTATTACGACTAGAACTCAGTACATTCAGGCAGAACCCCAACGCGTCCAAAATGCCCTTCAAAATCATAATCGTAGGTGCCGGTATCGCAGGTCTCTGTGCTGCTATCGGTCTCGCACAGCAGGGCCACGACGTCACCATCCTTGAGTCTGCCAAAGAACTGACGCCCATTGGTGTCGGGATCCATATTCCGCCCAACGCGACTCTCGTACTCAAACACTTCGGCATCCTTGAAAGAATGACTGACGATGCCATTCATCCTACCAAATTTGTCTTTCGTAGGTGGAATGACAACAAGGTCATCGCAACTGCACAGGCAGGAAAGCAGCAGCAAGGGACGCCGCCATATTGGAGCATGCGTCGATCTCATTATCAACGGCATCTATATGATGCCATGATCGAGGCTGGAGCAAAGCTTCGACTGAATGCCCGCGTCGAGACTGTCAACGAGCAGGAACCGTCCGTAGCTTTGGTAGGGGGTGAAGTGCTGACAGCCGATCTTGTGGTTCTATCAGATGGTAGGTTCTCGAGTTCTTGGTGAAGAGAGGTTGCTGACAGGTCCTCTAGGCATCAAATCCGATTGAGGAACGACATCATTCCTGAGGAGAACACCTCCATGAACCTCAACCCCCTGTCAGCCTTTAGGGCCTATGTTCACCACGACGATCTTATGTCAGACCCTATCACAGCTCCTATCTTCAAGGAGACTGCTACGAATGTCTGGGCCGGCTACAATCGCCATGTCATCATTTACCCGTGCGGAGGCGGCATGTACACCCTCGGTGCCACGCATCCTGCCAACCACAACGAGAACGGAGACCAGGCCATGGAATGGAGCCGCGCCGCCACTGTAAGCCAAGCTGAGGAGGAATATCGAGAATGGAATCCCATCGTCAAGCGTATCCTGCATCACACGAAGGAAGTCGGCAAGTGGAGGCTGGCCGAAGTCCCTCGACTTCCACGATGGACAAGCAAGTCTGGCCGCGTTGTCTTGATGGGAGATAACGCGCATGCCATGCTCCAATTCCTGGCCCAAGGCGCAGCAATGGCCACCGAAGATGCAGGATCTCTCTCAGTAGCTGTCGGCTACGCCAAATCCGCCGAGGACCTCCCACGTGTTCTGAAGGCTTATGAGAGGGCGCGAAAATGGCGCTGTGAAGCCGTCTCGGCCCAAGCCAGGCGGAACGGCGACATGATTCATATGCCTGACGGTGAAGAACAGGAAAATCGCGACAGAGAGATGTCCCAGCTGGCTCAAACAGGCGTATGGAAGGCTGATACAGGGCCAATGTTTGATGCCGAATTCAGGAACTTTCTGTACAACCACAACGTTATCGAACATGTAAGTCGCAAATCAGCAGAGAGATAGAGTGCACGCTGATCATGTTACGTTACAGACGAAAAGGGTACTTGACAGCGCGATTTGAGTTTGGATTCTTGTATGGACTCTTTCATAATCAGTAACGAGGCATCGTGAGGAGGACCGTCGGATACCCTAGACCGGCCACTGACACTATGAGGTCAGCAATTGGTCGACAGAAGGGGGATGCACAATTAAGGTAGTTGTTATGGTACAGAATCGGACACGCAGGGCCGTCATCAATGTAGGATATGAGCCCATGACCGGAGCTAGTGCGTTTACAATCTCATATATCAGCGCTTGATTGAAAGATATCAGATGGAGAAGCTTGTGATGTTTTCCCTCAAGTGCGGCCTCAGATAAGATGTCGAGAATTGCTAGCCTTTCACTGGAGCCTAGGATCAGGCCTAGACCTACACAGGTGACGGCCGGACATGAAAGTAGAGTTCCTTGTTTAAAGCTGTTTTCTTTCACAAAAACGATGTGATTCACATTGCAAATGAGCTGGGGTTGATCTAAGCTGAGCCGCAAGGCGATATCTCATGACAATGTTTGATATAATCAAGTCCCTCAGCCATCGCAAAGTGGCTAACGGACTTCAAGGGACGGGATTTGCGGCAAGGAATTTATGATAGGCTACACACCCGGACAGCGCATTTCTGTGGTTGGAGGGACCATGCTCTCATGCCTGACTCGCCCGTGCCTCATCGAGAGGACCGAGCCTGACGGACTGGGAGGTGCTGTGGATCCAGGAGAATAGCCTCCAACACGGGATGAACGGCCGGCAGTTGTTGCTCCCGTAGTCTCGGCGCACTGACCTTTTATTTTCAATCGATGGCTCGATGGCGTCTCTGATTCGTTTTTCGGGGGCTGGTGGCATGAACACCATGGTGTTCTGCCCTCCAGTATCGCGCATGCTTTGAGGTACCCAGTCTGCTTGCCACCCAAGAGGCTACATATCGCTTTGGCATTATCTGCTCTTCCTGCCAGCAATTTAGCATCATTGGGCTCTGTCCACCTTTGAAGCAAGGGGACGACCAAGCTTTACTTCAGGAGCTAAACTGGTAAAAGGAAACAAGGCGGAGTTTTTGCAGCCTCATAAAAGCTAGGCCGGTCTCGAGCCTCTGCCACTTGAGCTGGAATGACCTATACTATAAGCTCATCAAATACCTTTTTGTATCATGTCAATGACGCAATATGATTATAGTGGTCTCAGATCACTTTGCGAACATGTAGACTCAATGGCAGGAATCGAGTGGTGAGCATTTTTTACGTCGACTAAGCTATGCTCTTCGCCCCGGCGAGGTTGGTCTACAGTAAAAGACTACGAGATCCTGCGGTTTTTATCGCGACTTCATGAGAAGACAGATGAATACAGTCTACCCTGATTCAGAGGAATCGTCACAGGGCCAGAATATCTCAAATATGCAACCCCTTGTTGCAGCAGCTGCTGAGAGCAGACTTCGTACGATTGCAACTCCTAGCAGCTGATGGTCTCGCGGTTGATCCTGCAGGAGCCGGGAATGCTGTAGGCCCACTAAGATCAATGTTAGCATCACGCTCCAAGTAGTGACCGGAAGATCATAAATACTCACGTTCTCAAAGCCACCATCTCCCTGGCGGGTGAAGGAAGCTCCAGCGCCAAGAACGACTACCTCAAAACTTCAAGAATAATCAGGTTAGAGACAATGCCAAATTAGGAGGTCGGAGAGATGGGCTACTTACGTCACAGTCGTTCCCAGCTTGGCGTCGTACCTGACCGTCGTCTGCTGGACAACAGTACCAGTGGTCTTGAAGCCAACATTGCAAACAACAACACCGCGTCCAGGGAAAGCGGCGGCGGTGCGAGCGGCAACATCCTGGGTGAACTTGCGGCGGCCCTGAGAAGGAATGAGTAAATGTGGCAGATATAAAAGCAAAAGACATACCTCAAGGTCCTTGTCAATCGTCTGCTGGATCAGGAGGTTGATTTTCTCGGCGATCCCAAGAATGGCGGTGGCGGCAGAGCCCTTGTTGGGAGCACCAGGGACAGGGCCTGAAGGCTTAGGAACCACACGCTGACGAGCGCTGTGATAGTATTAGATGAGGATACCAGATATGTGCGAGGCCTTCGACTTACGCAATGAGGGGGTTCGTGTCACCCACGGAAATGTCACCGGTGGCAGGAACCGGGCTGGTCATACCGACACTGGCGAAAGCCAGGAAAGCGGCAGCAACGAAGTTGTTGAAGAGCATTTCGAATGTTGCTGGGGATGAAAGAGAAAGTGGTTTGAGTGACGGTCTGGGAAGACTGAAGCGGAATGAGTGACGATGGTTGTGAGGGTGAGCGTGTAGCTGAGTAGAGAGTGAGAGAAGCTGTTGCTGATGATGAATCCTTCATAGTATCGGGGGAATACCGATGCCTCTTATATAGTGGTTTTGCATGATAGCCTTGTGTTTGAGCCCTTACGTTGTTCGACCATATGTTGCTCCCTGTGTTTGCCATGACCTCTCCAAGTCGTCACGGCGAGGCCGATCTACCACAAAGATAGATGTTTACGGCAAGTGCCGAGCAGGGATCGACGTTGAAGATGGGACGCTTCACCCATCGGTTCATCTCAGGTCCCAGCATTCCGTTTCTGGAACTGAGGACTGGCCATGGGCCCATCCGGCGGTGCGCCTCGCCATCAAGGTATAGATTAAGCCAGAACCAAACTAATTTGGGCCTTGAATTGCGAGTCATAGATGCTTTGATTTTGATTCCCTGCTTGACACGGTCAAAGACATGGGCAAACTCCTAGCACAGAAAACAGGAACGGGCAGAGCCACCACTTCTTCCTAAGGCTATTTCACGTCGCCATTGGGAGGCTAATTCTAGCCTTCAAAATTCTCAAAATCACCTTCATTGCACAATATAACATAAAGCTCTGGATTTAATTATTTTGGAGCAAACCGTGCTGCGCAGGCTCATAGGCAGTCAGGCTGCCGTTGTTTTGTAGCGCTGAAATGTCCAAGCCCAGGAGCACAGAGCCAGAGGCTCATTACGTAGGTCCCACTCTGTATGTATAGTAGGCCTGCACACTGCGACCTGATACCAGCAATAGAGGAGGCCTTGCGCTTGTTGACTCGCGAGCGCCTAAATGACAGATTGCGCACAGAGATGGACCGAAAGAGGCGAAGTCGACTCTGTGAAACAACCTATGATAAGGAGAGAAGAGGTCGCGCATGACCAGGCACCGAACTCTATTGTCCAGCGCTCATCCTATTTGGGGTGTTGTTGGCCAAGACTCAGCCCACATGGGCAGGAGGCTGACTCGACTGCTTGTCTTGCAAATCATCTTTTCTCCGCCGAGCCCACTTTTGCAGTGTGATGCTGTGCTGTGCTAGCGGTCGTGCGTCAAACGTTAATTGATAGCCATGGGGATCTCTCGTGATTGTCAGCTTCGGGACGATTACTGAGAATGGGTAGTCATAGCCAACAACGACATGCGCAACGCTACTCGGATTTATTTATTTCTCACCAGAGCTGGGACGCCATTTGATCCATTGTTTCTCCTCTGTACTTCAGCAGTCTTGGAGCTCCTAGAGCATATGAAGGGGACCTTGCCGGCTGCGTATCTGCTGTAGGCGATCAAGTACGACTTTACGAGGAAAGGTATGAGTGACATGTCACATCAACCGGCGCCGCAATTAACTGCGTTCTAGTCAAAATTGTTTATAGAGTCGGACCCTTGGAGACCTGGATATTTGCGATGCCCTGGTAGGCTGTATTCTGTCCGGAGAAGTGCCATAGTGGCTTGTATCTTGCCGTAAAGCTCTCCACTTGCTGGATCTGGATTTATGGAGAAGATTTTGGTCGTAATGGCCTTGAGCATTTCTTGCACAGGCATATCTGCATTGGTCCTTACAACATTTCCCCAAAAATAACTTGAGTACCGTTGGTGAATGAAAAACCCGTGTCCTAGCCTAGCCTTAGACAGAAGGTTCGAGGAGTCAAGACACCGCCCGCAATTAAACTGTCACGTACGAATACAGGACCAAGAAGGCTATAGTTTATGGCAAGCGTGGATTCACGTCGAAAGCGAAGCTTGGTAGAAAGCTTCGCGAACATCTGATGAAGTTTGTGTTTCAGGGGCCGGTCAGCCGCGTATCCGAACGGCTGGCAACCTGTCCAGCGGGTAGGGCGCGATCGTTAGCGGTATAGGCCAACTACAACCAGTACCCCATGCTTGGGGCAGGCCAACCCCTGCATATAGTCCAAGCTAGCCTTGCTTACACCGTACGTCGGAGACCCCGTGACCTGGGCTGGCTGAGATGAACACGGCTTAAGTATTCGCGGGACGGAATTGAGTCCTTCAGTAAGGTATGTCAGGCATAGGCAGCTCCTGGTTGGTGTGCGCAATGATGCATACACTCTTGACATTTGACTCGACCCAGGTTTTCGCCCCACACGACGTCAAGTACTGCACGTACACTTTGGCCGTGCGATTTTCCGACTGCTCCGCCTCCCCGTCTTTTCTCCCCGGGTGCGGCTCCGCCCAAACATGTCCCCGCCAAGGCAAGCCGCTCCTGGCTCTTGGCCGGCAAAGGGCGCGCCTCGGCACTCCTCATCAATGACGTCCTACTCTCCCCAAGCATCCACGCCGGCCCCGGTGCCGGGCTCTATCATTGGTGCGCGTAGCTTCACACATCGTCCCATGGACCATTGATTCACGCCCAGCTCAGAATCCAGTAATCGAGAAGCTTGTCAAGTCATTTCTGGCGAAAGAAATCCTTGGTCACGCTGGGGCGAGCCTCCCATTGAATTGGTCTGATCACCTGCCAGCCCTCCCCATCAACCTATATATGTCAATGAGCAATCAGCGTTGACCGAAAGCCTAATGTTGAGAGTCATGCTCTTGCTTCTCCTTTCCTGAAGTAGTCTTATCTTTTTTTGGGGTTCTATTGACGGAGGCGGGTCTCTCCTCTGGTTAGCTGGTTCAGAGAAACACCCGAATTATTCGAGGTATGCTTAGACCTTGTCCGCCATGTTTCGCATATACAACATTTACGGTTGGTCAATCTTCCATTCGGCATTATCCGTGATACTCCTAACCCAGTCCCATAGTATTGGCTGCCTTTGGTACCATCGGCGGCATGCTCTTCGGCTTCGACGTTAGTTCGATGAGTGCATGGATCGGCGCCGACCAGTACCTGGACTACTTTGATCACCCGAGCAGTACCCTCCAGGGCGGCATCACAGCCTCGATGTCAGGCGGCAGTCTCGTGGGGGCTTTAGCCGCCGGGTTTATAGCCGATCCTCTAGGCCGAAAGGGGGCCTTGAAGATCGCGTCTATCATCTGGCTCGTTGGTTCTGCTCTCCAGTCCTCGTCTCAGAATGTTGCACATCTGATTGTTGGTCGCGTTGTCAACGGGTTCGCCATCGGGATCACGTCTTCTCAATGCTGCGTCTATCTCGCCGAGCTAGCCCCTGCACCCATCCGCGGCCGGGTCGTAGGGATTCAGCAGTGGAGTATCGAATGGGGTATGTTCTCCAGTTCCCTGAAATTGCCATATGTGGCGCGAATGCTCAATACTAACAACAATCCAAGGCATCCTGATCATGTATCTCATCTCGTACGGTTGTATCCGCACGATTGATGGTCCCGCAGCCTGGCGTGTAGCCTGGGGGGTTCAAGCCATCCCTGGAGCAGTCCTTCTGGGCGCTCTCTTTTTCTTTCCCGAGTCGCCGAGATGGCTGGCCGGGCGAGACCGCTGGGACGAGGCTTTCGATATACTCTGCAGCCTTCACGGCAAGAACGTCGACAGGTCCGATCCCTTGATCATCGCCGAATGGGAAGAGGTCAAGGAGGCGGCTCGGATCGCCCGCGAAGCTTCGAACCTGACAATCTTTGGCCTTTTTGGCCCAGGTATTTGGAAGAGGACGCTCGCCGGATGTTCCGTCCAGGTCTGGCAGCAGCTGCTGGGCGGCAACGTGATGCTATACTACCTCATCTTCGTTTTCCAAATGGCAGGCTTCTCCGGAGACACAGCACTCACATCTTCCATCATCCAATACGTGCTCTTCTTGGTTACCACCGGGGTAATTCTGCCCATAGTCGATCGCGTCGGTCGCCGTCCGCTACTTTTGGGAGGTGCTCTGTTTGGTCTGATAATCCACTTCGCAACGGCAGGGGTCATGGCCACTTACGGCCGATCTGTCGACTCTGTTGACGGTTAGTATTGCTGGGAACGTCCACGAGACATCTCACAGATCTTCTGAGCCGCTCTGACATTCGACAGGCAACGAGAATCTTAAAATCATTATCACGGGGGATCCCGCCCGAGCTGTCATAGCAATGATGTATCTTTTTGGTAAGTCCTTCGGGTTCCATGCTCAACCCCGAAGCTAACATGTCAGTTTCTATGTATGGCCTGACCTGGGCTCCGATTGGATGGATTTACTGTTCCGAGGTGTTCCCACTGCACTACCGTGCCAAGGGCGTCGGCCTTGCTGCCGCATCGAACTGGGCGTAAGTCTGAACCTTGCCAGCTTTCAGCCTCTTGAGGATGCCAGGCGCCGTTTGGCTGACATCTCCAACTTGCAGTTTCAATCTTGCCCTTGCATTTTTTGTCCCCCCGGCTTTCGAGAATATCACTTGGCAAACGTAAGCGTCAATTATCATTCGGGATCTCTTTCTGCAGCCTCTAACAAGCTTAGTTACATCATTTTTGGTGTTTTCTGTACCGTGATGATCCCGCATATTTACTTCACCTATCCAGAAACAGTACGCTGGCCCCCAACTCCTTGAACCTAAAGGCTTGACTGACGAAAATCGATAGGCCGGCAAGACTTTGGAAGAAATCGACGTCATTTTCGACGAAAACATTGCACCGTGGAAGAGTCGTCACGCCGGTCCTTCTCTGCAGGCCCGTGTTGCTGATCACAAGGTGCAGAAGGGAGAGCTCTCTGTGGAGCAGAGGGAGACGGTTTGATGTACTTTGGTGTTACAATCGTAGGTCGCCTGGATACCTTGCTGGCTGCGCCGAACAACCTCACCCGAAGAATGTCGGATTGCGCTGGCTGAGGAACCCAACATACCAAGATTAAAGTTGGTCATACCAGCAAATTTGATCCAGTGACCTAGCTTGGTCACCATTCAAATCATGAAATGAATCGAACGAGATCGAACCAAATTTGTAAATTGAACCCTGGATCACCCAGTCGGCGTCAATGCCCATTGTGGTTCTGACAGGAGCTCCATCGCTTGGGCCCTACTCAATTGTCACATGGCTCTGAAACGGAGATTTTCGGTGAACGCGTTCGGTGTAGCAGTGTACCAGGCTTGCCAAGAATCAACTCGACCCCTGGTGGGCTTGTTGGTTATGCCCCACTGGTGACGCAGATAACAAGCACAACCAGCCGGCCGGCCGGTCATCATCTCGTTATCATGAGCAATGGTACGCATCACAAACATTGAAGCCCTTGCCTGGTAACGAGCAGCCGCACTCCCGCTCTCGCGGCTGTGGCATTCTTGCGAGGTGAAAATCGGTAATCGTACCCAAACATATTGCTGATGTAAACTTGTGTGATCTCTCGCCTGACGAATTTGACACCTGCCACCCGGCACAATGGGCCGTCCAACTAGCTAGATCACAGCCCAAATGTCATGCTGTCCGGCCGGGCAACCCCATGTGCGCGGAGGAACTCGCATCAATGCTGACCAAGGCTCACGTTAGAACGGAGGAACTCCAATCGTCATCGGCGTTTAGCAGGCGCCAAACTCGGCAGTTGGCTGTAACATGTCCGACGACAGACATACCCACTGCGGATCCTTCCCGTATCGCCGACGAAGGGTGCCCAGCCCCAGACTTGATCGCAGGTTTGCGAGCTGTGTACCCCTGGCAATCGAAGCCCCTCCCTGGTCTGCATGACGCCGAGGTGAGGTCCTGGCGGGGAGCTCGAGCAAAGCTCTGCGAGTTCTGCATCATGGCGGGGTAACGCGTTGGCCCCCTGCCGAGACACCTGTCGCAGAAGCATTCGAAGCTCTACTCGAAGGACAACGAAGCCCAAAGATCCGTGTCTACCCACCTATAAATTCGAATGCCCCTCCTCCGTCTATTTTCGTGAGCGAGCGCCACTGAATTCAAGATACCCATCGTTTCCTGCAACTCCACGAACATCTCTCACCGTCAATCAACCCAACACCCACACCGAATCTAACCTCCACTGCACAATGACGTCCACAACCAAGCCCAAGGTTCTCGTCATCCTGACTTCTGTCGACACCATTCCCAAGTCTGGTAAGACCATCGGCTGGTACCTGGTAAGTTGCTCTGTATCCTTCGATCCTCCATCCACCCACTGACACTAGACAGCCTGAGCTCGCTCACCCCTGGGAGGTCCTCCGCAACCGCGCCGAGCTGACCTACGCCTCCCCCAAGGGCGGCGTCGCACCCCTCGACCCCATTTCCGTCGACCTCTTCTCCTCCGACCCCGTCTGCAAGGACTTCCTTGATAACCACAAGGCTATCTGGGAGAACACCCAGAAGCTGTCCACGTTCGCTGGACGTGCCTCCGAGTTCGACGCTGTCTTCTACCCTGGCGGCCATGGTCCCATGTTCGACCTCGCTTTTGACGAAGACTCGATCGCGCTGATCAAGGACTTTGACGCCCAGGGCAAGGTCATCTCAGCCGTCTGCCACGGCCCCGCCGCCTTCGTCAACGCCAAGGACGCCGCCGGCGAACCCCTTCTCAAGGGCAAGACGGTCACTGCCTTCACCAACGAGGGTGAGGACATGTTCAAGTACACCGAGGAGATGAACTTCTCCCTCGAGGACAAGCTCAACGAGGTCAGCGGCGGCAAGTTCGTCAAGTCCGAGGAGGGCCCGATGGGCGAGAAGGTCGTTGTCGACGGCAGGATCATCACCGGCCAGAACCCTGCCTCGTCCAAGGGCGTCGGTGAGGAGATTGCCAAGGCGCTGGGTGTTTTCTAAGCGGTCCATATATGGAATGATTTAATGACAAGTTGATACCTCCTTCACAAAACAATGCCTACTCGCCGCGGTGTTTTTTTAAGAAAACTATGACCAGGATGACACCTTCGTGCAAATCTTGCAGCGTTTGATCTTTGAAAAAAAAGCTAATCAGTGTGGCGCCGTTTCTGCTGCTCATCTCACTCCAAGCTCAGCATTTGCGATTGAACAATGTGTTAGTCCGAGTGATTCCTAGCTGTTGGCCCTGCATCATTGGGCATGCTATTACTCTCAATGCTTCCCTGGCCAAGCCACTTGGGTGCTCCAGTGAGCAGGCAGAAACAACAAAATGAGTTCGGGGCCTGCGGTCTTTTGATGGTTGTGGCCAGTGTATTTCGCACAGCCGTGAAGCGTACGCCGTCAACAAGCCGAGCTTACAGAGCGATGTAGCTGACAGCCTCAACAATATTAGAGTCATACCGAAATAGATGATATTGTCTTTCTTCGATCCTGGAGCATCTGAAAATGCCAGAGTTCATTGATCTGAACGACGACATCGGTATCCTTGTCGGGTCTCCATGCTGACCCATCGCACAGGCGCCGCAGAAAATATATACCTCAATTTCGAGCCCCTCGACAACAAAAAAAACTGGTCTGGTGGTGTAGTGGTTATCACGTCAGTCTCACAATGAATCTTGACCTCAAATCCAGGCATTGAGCGCACTGAAGGTCGGGAGTTCGAACCTCCCCTAGATCACTTTTTTGTTTCCCAACCGATCAGGTTCTTCCAGATACGCCTGCATGTAGATCTTACCGCCTGGTAGCTTGGATTTGGTACAGTAAAACCATCTCCCACTTTCAATCCGTTGTTGCTTTGTAGGCGAGGAGGGTTTTCTTTTCAGTATAGTTTGATGTATTGGCTGGGGGAGGCAATGAAATTGAGACCAAGTGACGAAGTATCTTTGTTGTCTACTTTGACCATTTCACATACGCACTGTACCTTCTTCGATGCCACTTTTCCAACGTCCTGCCTGACTTGATCTCTTGTGTGTGTACGATGACGTCCGAGTCACTACAGATGTAGCCTGTTGGGTCGTCTTATCATCAGGAGCTGAAATGGCAAAAGAGAGTGAGTATTTCCACGAAGCCCCAAAGGGAAGTGGAATCACGGTACCTCGAAATAATATTACAAGCGTGAAGCTTGCCCGGCCGCAGAAGCACCTCAAAACGAGTATCTGGTAGCAAAATGATTCAGGGGAGGCTCGAACTCCCGACCTTCAGTGAACATCATATCGCATCATAAGAAGCAATGATGGAATGTTAGACTGACGTGATAAACCAACTACACCACCGAACCGTTCATGGGGGCAATGCCCGGCAGAGTGGTACAATATTGTGTGGGATTGTGTGGGATGGGTCTAAATGGGGCTACGGGGTTTGTCCAGGCTCCATCGTGAGGTTAGGCAACATGTAGATTTAGGCTCCGAGTGTTTGGCACGCGGGTCCATTGTGTACCGCCAGAGACCCACCTAAGAGTGCCTGCTCAACTGTTATCCAGCTGAAAAAACAACTTGCGTTCGCATGGTCAGAGTCTAGCCATTTCAGCCTATTCTCCGGGCTAGATGTCAGCGCAAGGAATGAGAAGAGTGAAGAGGTCTTTCGTAGGTGATGTCCGCAGTCAATTCTTAGGTAAGGGGAAGGAACACATCTGAACTTTGACCCGTTGTAGCCCTTATACACGGTCTCTCATCGTGCAAAGTCCCTCGACTAGCTCTTGTCTTGTCGCTTCGTAGGTGCCTCCTGACGCAAGACGTCTCAAGATTGCGTCTCCCGAGGGAGCACATGTTGCATTGTATGACAGCTGAACGTGCTCGGTGACAAGAATCGACCGACGCCCGTATTATTTGTATCATATTGATACAACAATGCCTCAGCTACCAATATTCTAGCTCTATCGCTGCTATGAACCCGAAGATCAAGTCGGCTGTCACGAAAGATGACTTGATCGGAGCATGACAAAGCGGCTTGTTTCTGGTATGGAATGGCAATTCAAGTGACCAGTATACAGGAAACAATACGTTGACAAGACAATTAGGGAGACGAGCCGTGGCGCGAAAAAATGTATGAAGGCTGAGGAGAGCTGCTTCGGATAGCTATGATATCTTCCGATGAAAAAGGGCCCTGAAGAGCACGAGTGGAGCGAAAGCCACGAAAGCCTCATTCTAAGTTATCTCCAGCAGAGTAGTGATCTACCTTAGTCGTATTGACTCAAGCACTCAATTTGGAGACTGTCTGTGAAACTGACCAAGTTGCAACGAAGAAAATTCATGTTCTTCTCACACTTTACTCACGGCTCCAGGAAATCCTGCCGTTATCACGACGATCATAAGGAGGCTGACTGAGTCCAACCTTCGGAAAAGTAGTAGTAGGCACGAATGGCATTTGAGGGTCACATTGTTAGCATAGATTCGTCCAGTCCAAAGCGATCCAGCAGTCGAGAAGTCCAGCAAGGTACCAGTGGCAATTGTCGGAACAGACCAAGACAGATGTATACATTTCTAGTATCTAGTTACGCTGCCTCATGTGCTCAGCTCAGAAGGATATCTCAGAAATTGAACGAAAGAAATGAACAAGATACACGAGCTCCTGCCGCTCGGATGGACCATGGCTCGGCCGAAATTATCCCACGCACCCTGGTTCCCACGCAAATCATTTCCCGGAGCGCTATCAGAACGGCCTTGTCTCAGCGTATTGCGTCGCTGGTGTCTGCTGCACACTGTTCATGCCGTTTGAACGGGGCGGTGCCGCGTCGAGTTCGTTGTACTGGTGACTTGGTGCCTCATGGATAGGCTGGAATGGCGCTTCGGCGGGCTCACTCTGGTGCCCGTATGCTGTTGAGTGTGGCGAGTGAATGTCCTGAGACGGGCTTGTGTGTTGTGTTGCGGCACTGTACTGCTGGTCACCCTGCGGGTAGGCGTTGCCCCATGCAGCACCGGCCTTGTGCTCGTTCGACGCCGTGTATGTGTCGCCGTTGGCCGGCGTTGTGGCTTGCGAGGGCGGCATGTGTTGTGTAAAGTCGCCGCCTTCGGGTTTGCTGCCTGAAGCAGCGGCGGCCCTGGCGGCCCTGCGTCGGCGCCAGAAGAAGAAGACGAGCGCACCGATGAGGCCCAGGACCGCGAGGGTGGCGCCGACACCGATGCCGGCTGCAGCGCCGGGCGTAATACCACCGCCGCCACCATCTGAGCCTGAAGATTCGTTCGTTGCTGAAGAGGATCCGCTCGTCTCGGCCGGCGAGCTGTCGGCGGACGTGGGCGTTGTCTCGGCTGCCGTGCTGGTTGCGGAGGTGGAAGCGGCTGTGGTGGCCGCAGGAGGAGCCGAGCTGACGGCGGATTCCTGACTCGTTAGCATCACTTTTGTCAAACCAAAGACGGGGCCGGAAATCATACCCCCGAATAGATGGTTGACCAAGCACCGTCATTGACATCTCGTGCCGAGCTGAACACCCATCGCTGCGCCGGGTGCTGGGCATCCGACGTCTCGCCCTGAATCTGGTCGTTCAAGAAGAGGTTGGACCCTGGGTGGACATCCATGGCGTAGTCTGAGTTGTTGGACTTTGGCTTCCACAAGAATGCACCTGTGTTGCCAATTTCTTCGAAGTAGTGCTTCTGCGCATCGTCAACGCTGCTGGGTTGCATGCAGGCGATAGTCTTGGATTTGTGGTCCTCCTCGGGGTCCCAGCAAACAGAAAGCTGTCGACCAACGCCGGAAGCATTGTGGCGCATCAGGTAGAGGCCCGGCTCATTGTCGATGGGCTGCATCTGCCAGGCCTGGGCGACGAGTGAAAAGACACGAAGGCCATCGGTCGTCGTTTGGAGCGTGTTATGGAAGACGGGCGCAGATGCGTTGGTGACTCTCTCCTCAGAGATGTGGTACCAGACGTTAGGGTCAAACTCGGCCATCTTGCTGTAATGCGGCAGTCGTCACAAGTTGCAAGGTAGAGCTTGATGAGCGATGTGTCGCGTCAAGTGTCGATTACCTGCGTCTTCGAGTTTCTTTCGAGGAACAAATCTCGAGCAACTGGTCAGTCTCCTGGACAAACCGACAAAGAGACAGACAGCCAGCCAGAACGCGGTGCAGGAATCGTCATGACACCGCGACCTTTTGGGGGCCATGGAAATTGTCCACTTCGCAACAGCAGCCCGTCTAGACCCATCTCATGACGACCAGGGGGACCCCGGCGAAAGCAAATCTCCAGGAAAGAGCTTTTGACTGCCCTCTGGACCGTCGACAGAGGCTCACTGTGGGACCGACCAGGATCGGCGGGAGGGGGTAACTTCGCGGCCTGGCTGAGCCCCCGAAGGATCGCATCACGACACGATGAGTGGTCACGGCTGGCGAAGCTGGGGGTCGCGCGCAGTGAAACCCTACATGCGGGCGCGGTAATGGGAGGTCTCTCTGGCGATCGGACCAGAAGCGACTATTAGCCAAGCAAGTATCCAAGCGTGTATGCCAGGCTTCGCGCTGTGGCGAGCGTGGTTCGCTACAGCGACGGCTCACAAGGGCGGCCCCTAGCCCCGGGAGGAGTCATGGTACCATGTAGTCATGGCGCGATCCTTCAATGCGGGTGGCAGCGGGTGGCCCACGGGTGGGCGATGGGCATGACAAAGGCTCTGCAAGCCGTCCACTCCTTGAGCTCTTTTAGAACCCGAGAGGGTGTTGTTGCTGTCGGGTCGCGTCAGGGATCGCTTGGCTTGAGCATGGTGGCGTTCGCGATGAAGCAAGGAGGCGTGTCTTGTGTTACCTAGATCGGTGGTGCAAGCTGGTTGAAGGTGTTCGGAACAGTGTAGAACGCCAGTCAAGATTCGACACTCGGAAGGTAAGGTCGCCAGAGAGCTCATCATGAGCAGGCCATGGCGCGCCGCTAGGCATAATCCCCACAAGCTTCTTTCACCTTGATCTTAGGTTAACAGGGCCATGGCGGCGGGAACCACGGACCGTTCCAGGGGGATTAAGTGGCACTG